CCCCAAAACCCCAAAACCCCAAAACCCCAAGCCATTGAGATAATATAGATTGGTAGCATAATAAGATAATATAAAATTCTCGTAGACTAACAATTAAATTGAATTTAAATGGGCAATATTACTGCAATTGATATGGGCATAGTTGTCTTGAGATGTTCAGTATTCGATAGAAAAAATGATCTCTTCCCCTATAAAATTGAAAGGGAAAAGGCATTGGCAAAAAAGCAAGGCAATTCATACTTTATGACTGACTACTCCTTTTATTCTAAGGAACATGGAGGAACTTTTCATTTCATTTAGTTTAGTATTATTGATACAATAGAGGTAAGCCGATCTGAATCACTCAGGACAATGTTATTCACGCTTCAATCATCTTTATATATTGGTTTCTTAATATTCTTATTTAGTTTCTAGAGTCCCCTGAATTAGATCATCTTTTGGATTTCTTTGATTAAAACTATCAATTTCAAAAGTAGAATGCAAAGATTTTGCTTAATCATATCTATCAAAGGAAAAACATTATTGACTACAAGATTTCCTAAAGCTTTTTTGAATAAGCAGTAAAGAGAAATTATTAGGACATGCCTATCCTTAGCACAGGTGGTTACAATGATCACTTCTTAACATTCGTGAGCCATATATTTAACACAGAGGTAGTTAAATGCAGGGACTTTCTGCCATTTGTGATTATAGCTCTTGATTATTTAAACAAGTACACTAATGATTGCTTTTTCAAACTAAGTGGATCTAGTTCAGGAATAATTAACTTCGCAGGAAAGCTAAATATAGAAACTAAGCCCAAGTAATAGTACTTCTCATTAAAGGATGACCTGTATCCCTATCTATTAGTTAATATGAGATCTGGAGCCACATTCACAAGAGTTGATTCAAAAGATAGTCATACTAGGCTATGTGGAACTTCTATAGGGGGCTCATTCTGTTGGGGGATATTGAGACTGCTAAATTATTTTGATAATCCGACAGAGGCTGTTATTGCAGCATCAAAGGGGGATAGTTCTAAGGTTGACATGTCCGTTGGAGAAATCTATGGATAAGATTATTCCTCCAGAGGGTTGCCAGCCAAAATGATAGCCTCAAGTTTTGGGCGACTCAAGGATTATAATCAAGAGTAAATCTAATAAGTCTCTAAAGAGGTAATTATTATAAATTCCATTATTAATTACTTTAGGATATATCTAGGTCTCTTTTGACTATGACTGCAGTTAACATTTTGATTTTTTCAAATATGATTGTAAAACTGCATAATCTTAAAAAGGTTGTTTGGATAGGAGTTCATGTTGACCTCTTAGAATACATGTAAATGTCTGAGGTAATTACTTATAATTCATTACGTTAAACTATAGCAAGCTTTTAGTATGTTAGCTAAAGAGCAATCGCACCTGATTTTCCCTAGATATCATAGTTTTCTTGGAAGTCTAGGATTACTTCTTACTCATGGGAACTTAAATTAAGACTGAATATCAAACATATAAGACGATTATTATTGATTACGGAAGCAGAAATTATTAAAGATTGAAACTAATTTAACTTAATTTTGAATCATAGAACAACTCATTAATTTAATAATTACTAGAAATATTTATTTATCGTTTCTTCACAATCAACCACACAGACAAATCAATTAATATCATTCATTAGTTAAAGTATTCATTTCTTCTTAATTAGAGCATTAAGTGCCTCATCTAGGAAATCTCTTACAATATATTTGTGAAGATAGCCATATTAATCGTAAAACTTAGTAATTGCTAGTTTGTGTTCATGAGAGATAGATTAGTTCTTTGCCTTCTCGTCTGTTGACTCAAGCTTTAGAGTGTAGTTGTAGTCAATATCTGGGTTGAATTAAGAAGTAAAGACTATTCTTGGGAAGGTTTTCAGGGCATTAATCTATTCGTTTGTTACTATATCAAATCTTTGAACTTACTTTGTGCTCCATAGAAATAAAGAATGAGTCCTTCTGCAAATACTTCTCAATGTAATAATAGATGACAGTACAGATTACATATCCTGCAACACATCCAAGAAGATTATGCTTGTTCTGAGTGAAAGGAAGGAAGTAGAAATGAGAAAGTACACCTAGCACACATGAAATCAATCCTAGAAGGATCTTAAAGTCTGTGTGTGAATTCAACTCCTTAAATTGCTTTGTCTCCAATATCTACATGAGAATAAACACGTAAGATAATGAATCTTTGCCAGTGGGTATAAAGAATAAATATGCTAGTTTGAAATAGTCAGACTTACATTGACGATTTCCTCATCAATAGTGGCTTTTAATTGATATGGATCATATTTATTGACTGATGTCTTGGACAGTAGATCCTCTATCTTCACTTTGGGTTTCTCTTCTGCAGCACTCTCCTTATAATATTCACTTTCTTTTGACATTTTATAATTTTATAATTAATTAATCACTAATCAAAAATTATACCTATTGGGGTTTTGGGGTTTTGGGGTTTTGGGG